GTTACTGGGATTTATAGTTCACCTGCAATCAAAGAGCATTCTGAACCCCACGAATGATAGAATTGGGGCAAACTTTCCACACAGAACCCCTATGACCAATAGAAAATACTTAAGGCCATCCAGTCCAACTCCCTTCACCAGGGCAAGAAAACGTGATCAAATACTGTTTAACCACAAGCATAAAAACATTACATATATTAGAAACCAACACTTTCTCATTACTTTATTTTCCAGATCACCAGACTGGGTCACAGCAACATGTGGCAGGGGACGGCTAGTGTACTTATAAATTTCTTTTCTGTTACAGTCATATTAGATCACCCCACCCCCATTTCACTCATCCTAACACCAGAACAACAATAAACAAGGACAAAAAAAAATCTAAATTGCTTTCTTTCCAAATATGCATCTGCTAGAGATTTCCTGATGTTCAAATTCACACACTTCTTATAAAATGGTCTGGGCTGCTACTGGGTAAATAGGGAGAATTGATGAAGGGAGAGATTTAATTCGCATGCCTTACTTTCAGTTAAATTAAGTCAGGGAAGTTTTAAGTGTCCAAAATACCAGTTGACATTTTCAATGCCAAACTACATACTCCAAAGATCATCATTATGTTGTACAGGGCACTTTAAACAGCAGGTCTAGGAATGCAATGCTCTTTGGTTAATAGAGAACAGGAGGTACTCTCTAAAGTAACAATGAGCCAACCTGAAATGACACCATGGTGGCTGTATATGTAGTCATTTATATATATAAAAAAAAAAACCCTGCAAATCTGGCCATTGCCTACTGATGTCTCACCTAATAATTCAACAAGGTTAGAATTTAAATATTAACATATTGTTAAATCCAATAAGGTTTGCCGAACTGCATGTACCCAAAACAATCACAGCATGAGTACTGCACAACAATTCGTAGAAATGCTGAAGATCTGCAACTGCAAACTACTGCAAGCTGAGAAAAGCTCACAGTTGGAAGCACAGATTATTTTGCAATAAAAACCATAAGACATTTACTTCCTGAAAACCTGCACTAGAACCTGAAGAGATAATTACATTGTGTCAGAGCCAGTTTTTCATTTTCATTGCAGCAAGCAAAACACATTTCTGTTGCTAACACAACCTGCCCCCATCCCTTGTTTACCTGAATTGATACTCCTTTAGCTTCTTGGAAATGTTCAGACATAAAAATGTTGAAGGCAGAACGAGGTCTTTTAGGTTTTCCAAGGACTGTTAATTGCTATAACAACAAGAACACATCAGAGAGAAGTTCTCTCATTCAATATGAAATCCAGTCACAGAACACACACACATCTACTGGGGATTCAGAGAGATCTATGCAAGTCAAATGAACATATGTATGCATCAAGAATGAAGCTTTTCAGGAAAAAGTAAGGGCCAATTATATAAATGGAGAGCCAGTAGTGTCTCTACACAAGTGGTTCCCAACCTGTGGTCCGTGGGCCACTGGTGGCCCGCAAGAACTAAAATATGGTCCATGGCCTCACTGTTACTACACCAGGGGTTCTCAAACTTTTTAAACAGAGGGCCAGGTCACAGTCCCTCAAACTGTTGGAGGGCTGGATTATAATTTGAAAAAACATGAATGAATTCCTATGCACACTGCACATATCTTTTTTGTAGTGCAAAAAAACACTTTAAAACAATACAATAATTAAAATGAAGAACAATTTTAACAAATATAAACTTATTAGTATTTAAATGGAAAGTGTAAGCCTGCTTTTGACTGATTAAATAGGATTGTTGCTGTTGTTGTGTGCTTTCAAGTCGTTTCAGACTTAGATTGGCTCTGAGCGAGGGCTGGGCAAATGACCTTGGAGGGCCGTATCCGGCCCTCGAGCCTTAGTTTGAGACCCCTGTACTACACTGTTCCAACAAGAGTGACTGGTCTCACAAAACCCTCTTATAGTGCCGAGGCTTATTAAATATGGTTCTCTGAGGGCAAGCAGATGGCGACTACTGGATGGCATATGTTGTGTATCAGAAACTAGAGCTGACGTGGTCTATCCAATGCGTTTTTCTGAATCAGCACCCCAAATAACCAAACCAAATCTAAAGTTTACCAAAAACTGGTTTGTAACCCTTTTCGTCAGTGGTTCTCAACCTTCCTAATGCCATGAACCCTTAATACAATTCCTCATGTTGTGGTAACCTACAACCATATACATTATTTTCATTGCTACTTCATAACTATAATTTTACTACTGTTATGAATCGTCATGTAAATATCTGCTATACAGGATGTATTTTCATTCACTGCACCAAATTTGGCACAAGTACCCATTATGTCAAAATTTGAATACTGGTGGGGTTGGGATTGATTTTTGTCATTTGGGAGTTGTAGCTGTTGTAGTTATTGGGATTTTTAATTAACCTACAATCAAAGAGCATGAGTTTTGGAGTTGTAATTCACCTACATCCAGAGAGCACTGTCGTCTCAAACAAGGATAGACGTGGACCTAACTTGGCACAGATACTCAATATGGCCAAATGTGAACACTGGTGGAGTTTGAGGAAAATAGACCTTGACATTTGGAAGTTGTGGTTGCTGGGATTTATAGTTCAGCTACAATCAAATAGCATTCTGAACCCCACCAACGATAAAATTGGGCCAAACTTCCCACACAGAACCCCCATGACCAACTGAAAATACTGTATTTTCTGATGGCCTTTGGTGACCCCTCAGATATCCCCTCACGACCCCCCCAGGGGTCCCGACCCCTAGATTGAGAAACACTGCTTTTGGTACTAATGCTGGAGAGTAGTCCCTGGTAAAAAGGTTGGGAACCACTGCTCTATACACATGCATAACATGTGCCATGTTGTTTGGATCCCAGTCTATATTTTATATGTCATTTTTTAAAGAAGAGAATATGTCAATTTTATCCAAGCTATTATAAATATAAAAATAACCTTTTAAAATCAATGATTTATATGGGCAGAGATTTTTTTTTTAAAGATGCTCATTTTCCTAAGATCGTAAAACTGAAAGTGGAGGCAATCCTTGGAACATACTCCAGGAACCGATGAGAGATAAAACACACAAGAGACTATATAGATTGGCACAGTGCTTCTGCACCTGGAAATAGCATCACAGGGCAAGCCAACTGAAAGGCTTCCTATCCAGCCACTCCCTACTTTACAACTGCTACTTGTCTTAGGGAACAATTACATAGTATTAGTTTATAGCATCATCAAATTACAGCTGAAGAGCAATTCTAGCTATTATATGGGGTACAGAATAAATGCATACAGAGAACCTATTGTATTTGCTAACATAGTGGATTTTGAATTAGCTCAAGGACACAACGGATATAAATCTTAAATTTTCAGAGAACAGTATTTCTAATTTGAGAGAAGTATATGAAATATACTGTTGTGTGCCTTTAAATCAGGGGTCCTCAAACTTTTTAAACAGAGGGCCAGGTCACAGTCCCTCAAACTGTTGGAGGGCCGAATTATAATTTGAAAAAAAATGAATGAATTCCTATGCACACTGCACATATCTTATTTGTAGTGCAAAAAAAAAACAAAACACAACACTTTAAAACAATACAATAATTAAAATGAGTAACAATTTTAATAAATATAAGCTTATTAGTATTTCATTGGGAAGTGTGGGCCTGCTTTTGGCTGATGAGATAGGATTGTTGTTGTTGTTGTTGTGTGCTTTCAAGTAGTTTCAGACTTAAGTTGACCCCGAGTGAGGGCCGGGTAAATGACCTTGGAGGGCCATATCTGGCTCCTGGGCCTTAGTTTGAGGACCCCTGCTTTAAATCATAGCAAAGCAATATACAGACAGTCCCAGGATTACAAACACGATCGGTTCTGTAGGTTTGTTCTTAAGCTGAATGTGTATGTAAATCAAAACAGATATATGCTTTATGTGTAATTCCAGCCAAAAATTAGTTTTTGTAGTTTTGGATAGCATATGGATTAACAATCCTGTGGTGTTTGTTTTGCTGTCTCTTTCTGTTCAGAAGATTTCACCTCACTTTCACTCCCTGTGACAATTGGATTTTGAAAATTTGGCTTGTTCTAGAAACAAGAATTGGTGGGAAGGCTTCAGTGGAGACACCTTTTTTCTATAACTCTTTCAGGAGTTAATTTCCCTTCCTAGGGAGTAGATTTCTCCCACCTTCTGCTGACTTACCCCTAGTTGTCATGTGTAAGTCAGGTGTTTGTAACAGGGACTGCTTGTAATTATGGCACACGGCTCCCAAATGTTTAAAACAATGCTAAGATTTGATTCTGATAAATGCGTTTTCAGTTTGATTTCAATGCCAGAGTACAATGTTCATGCATCATATTGGTTAAGAGGCCTGCATAAGATAGGTGTGTTCTTCAAAATACTCATTTAAGTAGCAACCATAAAACGGGTGGACTCCAGTTCCACTATTTTGTGTGCCCTTTATGAATAATGGAAGCGTGAAATACTCAAGCTTCAAGCAAAAACTTTGCTACAAAATGTCCTTCAGATAATTTGATAATGGCAAAATCACTTTTAAAATACTAACCCTCCTTTTTCTTGTTGCTTTTCTTTTTTTAAATCTCCTCCTTTTTTCTTCCTTCAAAGCTGCTTCCTCCGCAGGAGTTAGTGAAGCTTTATATTTGGCAATTTGCTCGTTATAGACGAGCCTGTCAGTTTTGGCAGCAGCTTCATAAGGCTAAGAAGAAAAATACCCTCAATTTTAAAAAACATCTGTCTAAAGCAACGTACAACTGTAGACATTTTAAAAATCAAGCAACTTACAGCAACAATGTGACTCACAGTATAATTAAAACATCATCCAAGGAAATTACTAAATAAAATATTCTATTTACATGTTAAGAAAAACCTAGAAAGCAGAATCATGCTTACTTGCTTATCAGATGCTGGTAGTTCTCTCCAAACCTGTGCTATCTTTTTTGTTATTTCCAAAATGCTTACATCTGAATAAAATAAAATAAAAGATGAATGTTCTGTAAATATCGTATTGCATTTGTATTATTTAGATATCCACAAAACAAATATATGTTATTATTCATATGTTAGTTGCATCTGATGGAGAGATCTATCAAAAGTATTCCAGACAAAAAGCTCAAACTAGATACCGTCAATACTTGGAAATCTAAATATAAGAAGTGTCAATTTCAAATATCTTTTTCACATGTCATTAGAGTACAGGGCTCTATAGGAACCTGAGTTATTATTCATGAACAGTAGGCTGCTTCTGCTACAAGCTGGTTGAGCTAAAACCCCATGGATGCTCTACCTTTGGTGTTTCCTAACATTTGCTTCTGGCAGGACTCAACACTGTGGCTTATCTTTTCCCAGACAGACAACCAAAAGAAAATTAGAAAAAATATGTAAGTTTTCTGGCTTGTTGGAAGAGAAACATGCAACAGTGCTGGGCCCTACTAAGTTTAGACATCATGGTGAATCAACCATGATCATAAAACCTGCAGTTATTTTAGTTTTTGTCTAGTGAACACATTCTGTTAACAACATGCTGGCTTTTCACAAAATCAATAATTGATTATTATTGAAATTTGTTCACTAAATAGCACTACTGTATCACCCTTGCTGTCCCTTTATGAAAAACTGCTTATTTCCATAGCACTCAAGATGTGCACTCGCTATCCATTTTCCCTTGTTGAAATTTAGATTTAAGATTTTCATCCAAATTCCTTTCTTACCAGTTTATGTTACTTAGTAAAGTACCACATACACTGATAATTTCATGTTTATAAAATATCAACGTATTTGGTATGTCAGTTAGTAGTAATATTGTGTGTGCTGTCTACAATGTATGACAATACAATGGATTTCAGAGTTTTCTTAGGCAAAGAATATTCAGATGTGGTTTCATATACAAGGTTTATGCATAACCTGAATGTAATTTTATACACAATATCTTTAATAGCTTTGTACATGAAACAAGGTTTGTATAAACTGAACCATCAGAAAGCAAAGGTGTTACCAGCTCAGCCACTTGTGTAGACAAGTTTGGATTTTTGACTTCTGGATGCTCAGTTTGCACTAACCAAGGCTGGCCCTGCATAGCTTATAATAGCAACAAGTACTGGATCTGAGAACACTCTAGATCCTATTGGCTTTTCCTAAACAATAAGAAAATGACAGTTGTTTTTGCAAGTTATTATCAAAGGAGAGTATTGTATTGTTTGGTATTTCAGCAAAATACATGACACAGAATGACCATACTATGTGCTCACTGACTACCCAACCCAGAAAAAAAAAATAAACACCACAGCACAGGGCAATTTGAAGATTCATTTACTTCAGATTGAGAACAAGCTGCACTGAGTCCCCTTCAGGGTGAGAAGGGCGGCATATAAATGTCGTACATAAACAAACAAACAAACAAATGAACGAACAAACAAACAACTACAAAGGGTCAGAAAAGTTAGAGGACTCCTGGCAAGTTGCAAATAGAGTAACTAATATAAAAGACAGCCTTTTAATGTCTTTCACAATTCAGAGGAACTACCATTACTGAAACCTATGTCTTAATGCTATCACACAGGAAGTTTCTTACCTGGATTTTGTTTCCTATAAACGGGATGCTGGTCTTTATAAAAACGAATGAATGCTGACATTGGCTGCTTTGGACGGTTATCGGAACTGATATATTTTGAAAACCATTTTTCCACTGAGCAAGTAGGACTGCATCTTAACAAAATAAAATTATTAGCAAGTTACTAATACACCGACAACTATGTTAAGAGCTTTGTATCTTTGATGCTGCAGTACAACCCCCTAAAAAGTGAAGAAACACTGGCCTCCATGGCTGAACACCAGTCAACAATGAAACTGTGCCTGTCATCACCTAATTAGTTTTATGAATGATTTTCTAACCTCACTGCTTATATTTTCACATGCCAACCTCTGAAAACTTCATATCTGTGTTATGCATGCAACTCATTTCACCAATTGCTGCATCTGTCTGGTAAGGCAAAGTGAACTATGTCCTTGGATACATCTTTAACACCGAATAAACGCAATTTGATTCCACTTTAGTGAGCATGGCTCAACGCTATGGAATCACAGCAGTTGTTGTTTCACAGAAAAGTCTAAAAACCTTGTAAAACTACAACTCCCAGGATTCCATAGAATTGAGCCATGGCTGTTAAAGTGGATGTTAAATGATACAGTGTAGAATGCAGCCCTTGAAAGCTTATACAGGTGAGGTATCCCTCATCCAAAATGCATGGGACCAGAAGTGTTTTGTGTTTTTGAATAATTAAATTTCATACATGCGCATAATTGGGATTTCTTGGGTAATTGTAAACATGAAGTTCACACACACCTTACTGCATAGATGAAGTATCCCTTCTCTAAATCACTTGGGACCAGAAGAGTTCTATATTTCAGATTTCTTTTCAGATTTTGGAATATTTCCTTATATATAGCAAGATGGGACTAAAAACGGCATTCCTTTATGACTGATACATGCTGTATACATACAGCCTGAATGTACTCTTACATATAACCACGCTTCATATACATCTTGTACACTGAGCCTGAAGGTACTTTCTATACACAACTGAATGAAAAACTGCTGGTGACTATAGAGACTGTCCTAACTTACTGCATCTGCAGGTGGTTTGGTAACTGCACAGTGGCAGATAGGAAGCTATCCCAAAGGGCCACCACTTCTGTACAGAGAATCATTGGTTGCCTTTCCTCCTTTTTGGAAGAACTTCATAATTCCAGCAGCCTAAAGAAAGTTCAGAGCGTTCTGGGGATCCATCTCACCCAACATATTTCTTTTGTTTTTTGAATTATTACAATTTGGCAGATAGTACAGGATGACAAAGACAAGGACAAAAAGACTGAGATAGCCTTTACTCTAGAGCTGTAACTATAACTGTATCGAACTCCATTGCTTTGCAATGATATGGCATTGGGGCTGTGAAGTGCTTGGAGTGTGGAGGGATGGGTGTGCTGTTTCGCAATGTGTGCCGGGAAAAGCATTTAATTTCATCTTACAATGACAATAAATTTATTCCACTCTATTTATAATACATTTTTTGTATGAAACAAAGTTGTGTGTACATGGAATCATCAGAAAGCAAAGTTGGCACCGATTTCTATAAAACTTTGGAATATTCCAGAGAAGGGATGCTCACTCTGTATTGTGAATTTTAGTTAAGGTCATATATTAAGGCTTTTAATTATTTTTCATAGAACATGTAGAATTTCAAAAGCAGAATGTACTCAGAAACAACCCCACTGAGGCTGGATCTACACACTATAATGCAGTTTGAATCTGTTAAGTGATGTTAGTCTTAGGTACAGCTCCAGGCTATTTGGCCAACTGCATCCTGTTGTACGAATCTACCCACGCCCTGAGATCTTCAGGAGAGGCCCTTCTTTTGGTTCCACCTCTATCTCAAGCCCAGTTGCTTTCCTTCTCGGTGGCTGCTCCATGACTCTGGAACTCCCTTCTTCTCAGGAAAGCCAGAATAACTCCCTCCCTGCTTTCTGGTGGTAGGCTCAAACCTTTTTATTCAAGCACGCTTTTAAAGATTATTTTTAATGGTTTTTAACTGGAAATTTCATAATGATGGTTATATTTAATTCTGTTTTAATGTCCGTATAATTGTATAATTTTACATTGTTATGCTGATGCTTTTATGTTATGCTGCTTTGAGTCCCCTTTGGGGGAGATAAAAATGGGTATAAATAAATATAACTATAATAATAGTCTGAGTTCCTTTCTGGTGCTGGGACAATGCATAGCTGACACTACTTATACTGGAGGTCTGGCAGGGTGGCCAACTGATGTCAGGTGAGCTTTCCTAGTGCAAAGCCCTACATAGTTGGGTCCAAGTTACCTAAAGGATTGCCTTCTCCCATACAATCAATCTGCCCCACACACTTCGGTCTTCTGGGGGGCGTAGAGCTATATAGTGGAATTTATTACTGCATATGCATGTATTTGACTAAGTTTCTGTGGAATTGCCTCTTGTGTGTGTTAAGGGAAAAACTCCTGGTCAATCACAATTCAATAGTTGGGTAATCAGAACAATCAAGGATAACAAGCTTGAACCACTCCCTGAATGGGGTATAACTTGGGGAATGTTTTTAATATTTTTGGGACTTACCGAATCTCTTGCTTCAGAACTTACTCGGAGTAAGTTCCTGACTGAGAGCCTACTATGCTTGTCTCCTCACACCATTGAATGAAGAAGAAATCTCCAAAGAAGATGCATGAATTTAATGCAAATAACTTTATGTGAGTTGGTTGCTCCAGATGGACTGAGCTATTTCAAAGCTGGAAGTTTTGTGTTTTTGAAGCTGTTTGTTTAATTTTCTCCTAGACTCTGCTACTTAAGAGTAAACTTTGATTTTCCCATTTTTCTTGACATGAATTTGCTCATTGTGGATGCACAAAAAGGGCGGAATAAGTCTGGACAGGACTGCACGCACTTTGTTTAGTTTCATAACCCATAACAGTTTATGGGCCCAGATTTCAGTCTCAGGTCCAGTTTCAGACCAGATCCAGAAGTAATCCACAAAAAAGACTGTAGCAAGAAGAAATTGTTTTGTTTTGCATTGTGTATTTACTTGCGAACAAGGAAGATGAACCCTGGGGTGACTGTACACATTTTGTTTAGTTTCATAACCTGTAACAGAATTCAATGCTGCAAAACTGTACTGTTTTAGTCTAAACTGACTATAAAAGGCCTTATATAGCAGTGTAAATCCAGCCTGAGTTTAGTAAGAAAACAACCTCTCTAAACTGCTCCCTCTCCCCCAACCTATTCAACTTGTATGCAGAACAAATCATGTGATGTGAGGGGCTTGAGGAATGCAAGGCTGGGGTGAAAATTGCTGGAAGAAACATTAACAACTTTAGATATGCAGATGATACCACTTTGATGGCCGAAAGTGAGGAGGAGTTGAGGAGCCTTCTAATCAAGGTGAAAGAAAGCGCAAAAGCTGGGTTGCAACTAAACATAAAAAAAACTAAGATTATGGCAACAAGAATGATTGACAACTGGGAAATAGAGGGAGAAAACGTGGAGGCCGTGACAGACTTTGTATTTCTAGGTGCACAGATTACTGCAGACGCAGACTGCAGCCAGGAAATCAGGAGACGCTTACTTCTTGGGAGGAGAGCAATGTCCAGTCTCGATAAAATAGTGAAGAGTAGAGACATCCGCCTAATCAAAGCCATGGTATTCCCTGTAGTAACCTGCGGATGTGAGAGCTGGACCTTAGGGAAGACTGAGCGAAGGAAGATCGATGCTTTCGAACTGTGGTGCTGGAGGAAAGTGCTGAGAGTGCCTTGGACTGCGAGAAGATCTAACCAGTCCATCCTCCAGGAAATAAAGCCCGACTGCTCATTGGAGGGAAGGATACTAGAGACAAAGTTGAAGTACTTTGGCCACATCATGAGGAGACAGCAAAGCCTAGAGAAGACAATTATGCTGGGGAAAGTGGAAGGAAAAGGGAAGAGGGGCCGACCAAGGGCAAGATGGATGGATGGCATCCTTGAAGTGACTGGACTGACCTTGAAGGAGCTGGGGGTGGTGACGGCTGACAGGGAGCTCTGGCGTGGACTGGTCCATGAGGTCACGAAGAGTTGGAGACGACTGAACGAATGAACACAATCACAGAGCATTCTGAATCCCACCAACGATAGAATTGGACTAAACCTCCCACACAGAACCCCCATGTGGGCCACAGCAACGCGGGGCAGGGCACGGCTAGTAAATAAATAAAAGGCCTTATATGGCAGATCCAACCTGAGTTTAGTAAGAAAACCACCTCCCTAAACTGCTCCCCAAACTTGCAATCTGATCTCAGGATGGCTTTCTCCTGCATAAGGCCTCATGCACTTTTAGTAATAGTTATCTAGAACAGTAGTACCAGACCAAAAAAGACTTGGGACTCAGGGCCCTTCCACACAGTCATATTACCCAGAATTTCAAGGCAGAAAATCCCACAATATCTGCTTTGAACTGGTTTTTCTGAGTCCACGCTGCCATATATTCCAGTTCAGAGCAGATAATGTGGGGTTTTATTCAGCTGTGTGGAAGGGGCCCCAGTTTACAAGTGAGGCATTCAGTGGTTACTACTGCACCACTGGAAGAAGCACACACAAGCAGCAGGGCAAGGGGGCAGAAGAAAGGAGGAAAGAGTAGAGGTTATGGTAGTAGCCATTACCTGAGGAAACAACGCGACCCGGCTGCAGTCGCGAGCACGCGGCCCAGGAGCGCGGCCGCCATTGTCCCGCCGTCTCCTCGCAACGCCCCCCGCCCCTTCTCTCCCTCAGGCTCGAGCCTCACGCGCGAGACCTCCGCAGCAGACACGTCTGCGCATGCGCTAGCGAACCTCTGGGGCGAACTCAACTGCCTCCCGCCTATTACGGCCCAACAAGATAGGACAAGCGGGGACTCATCTGCGCATGCGCTTCGGCACTGGGTGAAACCAGCGCGCGCTATTGTGTACATTGCTCTCACTTCCGGTTGTTTGTCGGAAACGGACGTCGGAAGGGACAAAAGGCTTCCCTTATGGTTCCCAATCTTGCTACTAAGTTATTTAGGAGCCAGGAGGGGGGGGGGGTTGCATTGGGATCGGCTCCGAGTGCTGCTGGTGCTGGATCTTCCTTGAAGTGAATTCAAAAGCAAGCGCGCGCACCATAAGCTGCGCTTTGGAAGGTGGCAAGCAGTGGGCGTGGTCAGAAGGTTGAATGCCAACACACTCCACCAATCCCTGCTCCGGGGCTTCAGCTTGAGGCGGAGCTAAAATTGCCGATTCCACCAATCGCAGCCTTTGTCTACTAAAGAAACAAAAACAGCACATGCGCAGTTAAGTGACAGCTAGAGAGATCCCTGTCTCTACCAGCAATTGTGCAAATGAAAGAATAAAGAAGTCATAAAGGGCTGATACCACTTTAACTGCCATGGCACTCACAGGATTTGTAGTTTGGTGAGGCAGCAGCACTCTGGCAGAAAAGGCCAAATTCCTTGGAAAACTGCAACATCCATGGGGCCCTGCCACACAGCTCTATATCCCACATTATCTGAGTGTGGACTCAGATAACCCAGTTCAAAGCAGATATTGTGGGATTTTCTGCCTTGATAAGCCTGGAGGCCGTTCCATACAGCCCTATATCCCAGAATATCAAGGCAGAAAATCCCACATTATCTGAGTGTGGACCCAAATAACCCAATTCGAAGCAGATACTGTGGGATTTTCTGCATTGATAGTCTGGGGGCTGCTCCACACAGCCCTATATCCCAGAATATTAAGGCAGAAAATCGCACATTATCCAAGTATGAACTCAGATAACCCAATTCAAAGCAGATACTGTGGGATTTTCTGCCTTGACATTCTGGGATATAGGGCTGTGTGGTTGGCCCCCAGATAACCTGGTTCAAAGCAGGCATTGTGGGATTTTTTGCCTTGATATTCTGGGATATAGGGCTATGTGGAAGGGCCTTCAGTCTGTCTCTATCTGAGAAAGAACTGTTGTAATGCCTGTTCAACATACCCACTGAATTACAATCTTGCACATGTAAGACCCTTCCGTACAGCCATATAATCCAGAATATCAAGGCAGATAATCCACAATATCTACTCTGAAGTGGTTTATCTGAGAGCCCTTCCACACAGCCGTATAATCCAGAATATCAAGGCAGAAAATCCCACAATATCTGCTTTGAACTGTGTTATCCGAGTCTACACCTATAAAGCCCTAAACAGTTTGGGACCCGCCTAGCTTTGTGACCGCATCTCTTTCCATGTACCTACCTGGGCCCTTGGATCTTTGGGGGAGGTCCTCCTGTCACCTTTACCAATCTCACAAGTCTGTCTTGTGGATACAAGGGAGAGAGCCTTCTCCTCGGTGGCTCCCCGACTTTGGAACTCTTTACCTGGAGAGATCAGGAAAGCCCCTTCACTAGAAACATTTAAAAGAACCTTAAAACCTGGCTCTTCCGCTGAGCCTTTGGTGAGTAGGTGCACACCATGACATTTTGCACCCCTCAACATTTTTCTGCTACTTGAGCTCGCACCCCCCAAATGGGAAGTTCAACCTCATAAATCTATGGTTTTATGAGTTCCCCATAAATGTCATCAGTTTTTAAACATTGTTTTATCATGTACATGTGTGGCCCGCCCACTGCTATCGTTATTGTGATAGTGTTTATTAGAATGTTATTTTGACTGGTTTTTATTATTATTAATGTATTCTGATGATGTTGTTTGTTGTTTATGTTTTGATTTTATTGCTGCAATATGTTGTCCAGGCTTGGCCCCATGTAAGTCGCTCCGAGTTCCCACCGGGGAGATGGTGGCGGGGTATGAATAAAGATTATGATTATTATTATTGTTACACTGCTATATTCCCCAGTTCAAAGCAGATAATGTGGGATTTTATTCAGCTGTGTGGAAGGGGTCTGAGTCCATACTCAGATAATGTGCGATTTCCTGCCTTGATATTCTGGGATATAGGGCTGTGTGGAAGGGCTCCGAGTCCACACTGCCATATTACCCAGTTCAGAGCAAATAATGTCGGATTTTATATAGCCTAAGTCCCCATTCCTTCCAAGAATGCTGTGCTGCATTTGTCACTCTTCTAGTACATTTCTTTATTTGCATTTCAGGGCCTCGATTTGTGGTTTAGATGAAGATTTATTTATAAGCACCTAATGCTGCTCAAAGTGTGAATCACTCCGAAAGATACAGCTGCATTAAGAATTAAGACTCCACACAGGCAGGTTTCAAATCAGATCTTTATTTTCATTCAAGCCTCAGCTGACATGTTTAGGCAGAGAAAAAAATCACATCAGAAGTAGCTAGAAAGTATGCCGTATTTAACATTAACTAGAATGACTAAAGATTACACTTCTGAGAATTTCAGTGATACAGATCCTTTGCTTTAGTCATGCCAATAGTAGTAGTGCCGAGTGAGGAATATACAGAGAATGGGATGGCTCAGTTCGTGCCCTCGCTAAGGCATTGTACAGTATAAACTGGTATCTGGTGGAGGGGACTGAAGCACAGACAACATTTATGCCACCACAATGGAAGCACCAGGACTGAGCAAATGTTTTGATTATGACAGGAGGAAAGAGAACCTTTTCACATTGGAGCACTTAAGAGAGCAAAATAACACTAGAATAGGCAAAGTATTTAAGAGGGAAATCTTAACAAGGTTAGTTACTTGAAGCTGTGGTTTAAAATAAGTCCAGGCGGCGAAGCTTTTTGTCTGTTTAACAGTGCTGCTTTTTTAATAAGATCAGTTTGAAAGCTCAGCAGGTAAAGCCAGTCTCGAATTGCCGTTTTAGATATATCACTGAATAGAGAGGTAAGCATGGCTTCAACACACTTGTCTTCAAAGAGCCCTAGGAAAGGAAAGGAAGAGGCTTGCGGACCTGCACCGTTTGCTCAGCCTGAAGACTTTGCATTATGGTAAGTAAATTCCTTTTTGTATGATGCACACCTTAAAGCAATAGTAACATCCAAACAGTTTCAAACCAGCCTCCATATAATATTAGCAAAGCAGAAGATTATATGCTCTTTCACTTAACAGGCATGCAAATCAAGCTACCAGATTTCACAGAACCCACTGTAAGGGTTTAAGGGAATATATATATATTTAATTCTGGGAGAAACCTATTATAAACACCTAAGACAGATGGGTAAACATGTCTGGGAAACCACTCGATCAGAATCCTTTACCACCATTTGAAGTTTCTTGAAAAATGTGGCAAATAGCTTTCTCTTCAAGGTACAGCATTCCCTTTTTCAAGTATAACAAAATAATAATTTACTGCTCGGAAACACGTATTGGCTATTTGCAGAAATTGGTCTATTTCACAGCAAGCTATGATACTTAGAGAAGTACATAATGAAAATTTCAGTGCTTGTTTCATAAAGCTTCCATCTTTGATTGTATGCATTGAGGTACAGAAGCCTAGATTACTTTTACGCATAAGTGCCCAACACACACTTATTTCCTAGGCCGTTAGAACTTTCCAAGGATTTTAAGATTAAAACATTAAAACAGCTTTTAAAGCCCAGAAATAGAAAAATAGCCTCTGGGATGCTTGCCACAATGTTTTATATTATTTTATTGTTTATTTTGTAGCGAAGCATTAGGATTATATTCCCTTCTCCAGAAGGAGTCAAATGGTGGTCTATGACAGCAAAACCGCCTAGACAAGCAATTTTTTTACAAGAATAATTGCAGCCACAAATTAAACGTATTTAACAAGGATTTAGTACCCCAAAGCAAAGTAAAAAAAAATTAAACTGCTCTTATTTGTAAAGCACCTCAGGCTGTTTTTCTTTATACATGCATGGTGAAGTATAAATGTAATTGTTCAGAAGAATTAGCTTAGTAGGTGGAAGAAACAGATCAAAATATTGTTACACTGACGAGAGAGAAAACATCAGTGGCATTTCAACATTAGTAATTATCAACTTCAGCAAGATTTGAGGATTATTTCACAAGCTCATAGATATGTTCCTCTATACTGGTTACAACATCCAATCACCTAGCTCATATACCTCACAATGAATAGACATATACAGTTGTTCAGCAGTTACCATAATATACTCAAAGAGTTTATAGCAATCTTAAATACATAGGCCAGTTCTTCCCACTAGTAATTCACATATTTAACAATATTTTGATCTTTTCAGGGCAAGCACATATAAAGAATGTGCAAGACTTAAAGAACAGCCAAGACAAGTAGTAAAAAACACATTTTATTTATATGGAAAAGCTTCAAGTCAATTTTGTTTTAAAGGTCAGAGATTATACTGCCCATATGGGATAAAAAAGTCAGCTGTGAATAGAACAAAATTAGTTACATTTCTTTCTACAGAGCAGTGCAATTAATTCACATTGCAATAAAAGTATGCAACAGAATCAAAACCATGTGTTTCCTCATAATCAGCATACTGAGAGTTAGAGTGCAAAGTTTAAGAAGGTTTTTTATAAGTATTCCTGAGAAGGAATGCTTCACTTATTTAATAGCAGTTGTATTTCTTTTTCAATACTGTGCAGAGAATCTAAAGTGAGTTGACTTGCATGGTAAATAAAATATAGTCTATACAGTAAAAAAATACAAATTATACAATGAACTAACAAAGAATGAAATTCAAACACAGATGTACAGGACTGACATCTCAAAGACACACAGAATATTTCTCATGTAACACCTAGTTTTTCAGCAAAAAAAAATATTTTGGTTGCTCTACAATTGCAATATGGATCTTGTAGGCTGGAGATGCAGATGTCCACATATCTTTTAAAAACATAATAAATGTCTTTTGCAAAGCATACAAAAAGGATAAAT